ATTTTTGCACTCAGGTAAAGTCTCAGCAGCCCTCTATCATAAATCCAGAGTTTTGAGAAGATTGGAGAAACTTAATTTTCGCCCAAAAATGAAAAAAAAACGAAAGGGGTAACACTGTCGTTTTTTTTTTCGGGTCGAAATTTTGAATTTCGATATCTCAGCTCTGGAAGGGTCTAGAGCCTCCATTTTTGCACTCAGGTCAAAGTCTCATGGCCCTCTATCATAATCCAGAGTTTTGAGAAGATTGGAGAAACTTAATTTTTCGCCCAAAAATGAAAAAAAACGAAAGGGGTAACACTGTCGTTTTTTTTTCGGGTCGAAATTTTGAATTTCGATATCTCAGCTCTGGAAGGGTCTAGAGCCTCCATTTTTGCACTCAGGTCAAAGTCTCATGGCCCTCTATCATAATCCAGAGTTTTGAGAAGATTGGAGAAACTTAATTTTTCGCCCAAAATGAAAAAAAACGAAAGGGGTAACACTGTCGTTTTTTTTTTCGGGTCGAAATTTTGAATTTCGATATCTCAGCTCTGGAAGGGTCTAGAGCCTCCATTTTTGCACTCAGGTCAAAGTCTCACAGCCCTCTATCATAATCCAGAGTTTTGAGAAGATTGGAGAAACTTAATTTTTCGCCCAAAAATGAAAAAAACGAAAGGGGTAACACTGTCGTTTTTTTTTCGGGTCGAAATTTTGAATTTCGATATCTCAGCTCTGGAAGGGTCTAGAGCCTCCATTTTTGCACTCAGGTCAAAGTCTCACAGCCCTCTATCATAATCCAGAGTTTTGAGAAGATTGGAGAAACTTAATTTTTCGCCCAAAAAAAAAAAAACGAAAGGGGTAACACTGTCGTTTTTTTTTTCGGGTCGAAATTTTGAATTTCGATATCTCAGCTCTGGAAGGGTCTAGAGCCTCCATTTTTGCACTCAGGTCAAAGTCTCACAGCCCTCTATCATAATCCAGAGTTTTGAGAAGATTGGAGAAACTTAATTTTTCGCCCAAAAATGAAAAAAAACGAAAGGGGTAACACTGTCGTTTTTTTTTCGGGTCGAAATTTTGAATTTCGATATCTCAGCTCTGGAAGGGTCTAGAGCCTCCATTTTTGCACTCAGGTCAAAGTCTCACAGCCCTCTATCATAATCCAGAGTTTTGAGAAGATTGGAGAAACTTAATTTTTCGCCCAAAAAAAAAAAAAACGAAAGGGGTAACACTGTCGTTTTTTTTTCGGGTCGAAATTTTGAATTTCGATATCTCAGCTCTGGAAGGGTCTAGAGCCTCCATTTTTGCACTCAGGTCAAAGTCTCACAGCCCTCTATCATAATCCAGAGTTTTGAGAAGATTGGAGAAACTTAATTTTTCGCCCAAAAATGAAAAAAAACGAAAGGGGTAACACTGTCGTTTTTTTTTTCGGGTCGAAATTTTGAATTTCGATATCTCAGCTCTGGAAGGGTCTAGAGCCTCCATTTTTGCACTCAGGTCAAAGTCTCACAGCCCTCTATCATAATCCAGAGTTTTGAGAAGATTGGAGAAACTTAATTTTTCGCCCAAAAATGAAAAAAAACGAAAGGGGTAACACTGTCGTTTTTTTTTCGGGTCGAAATTTTGAATTTCGATATCTCAGCTCTGGAAGGGTCTAGAGCCTCCATTTTTGCACTCAGGTCAAAGTCTCACAGCCCTCTATCATAATCCAGAGTTTTGAGAAGATTGGAGAAACTTAATTTTTCGCCCAAAAATGAAAAAAAACGAAAGGGGTAACACTGTCGTTTTTTTTTCGGGTCGAAATTTTGAATTTCGATATCTCAGCTCTGGAAGGGTCTAGAGCCTCCATTTTTGCACTCAGGTCAAAGTCTCACAGCCCTCTATCATAATCCAGAGTTTTGAGAAGATTGGAGAAACTTAATTTTTCGCCCAAAATGAAAAAAACGAAAGGGGTAACACTGTCGTTTTTTTTTCGGGTCGAAATTTTGAATTTCGATATCTCAGCTCTGGAAGGGTCTAGAGCCTCCATTTTTGCACTCAGGTCAAAGTCTCACAGCCCTCTATCATAATCCAGAGTTTTGAGAAGATTGGAGAAACTTAATTTTTCGCCCAAAAATGAAAAAAACGAAAGGGGTAACACTGTCGTTTTTTTTTCGGGTCGAAATTTTGAATTTCGATATCTCAGCTCTGGAAGGGTCTAGAGCCTCCATTTTTGCACTCAGGTCAAAGTCTCACAGCCCTCTATCATAATCCAGAGTTTTGAGAAGATTGGAGAAACTTAATTTTTCGCCCAAAAACGAAAAAAAACGAAAGGGGTAACACTGTCGTTTTTTTTTCGGGTCGAAATTTTGAATTTCGATATCTCAGCTCTGGAAGGGTCTAGAGCCTCCATTTTTGCACTCAGGTCAAAGTCTCACAGCCCTCTATCATAATCCAGAGTTTTGAGAAGATTGGAGAAACTTAATTTTTCGCCCAAAAAAAAAAAAAAAACGAAAGGGGTAACACTGTCGTTTTTTTTTTCGGGTCGAAATTTTGAATTTCGATATCTCAGCTCTGGAAGGGTCTAGAGCCTCCATTTTTGCACTCAGGTCAAAGTCTCATGGCCCTCTATCATAATCCAGAGTTTTGAGAAGATTGGAGAAACTTAATTTTTCGCCCAAAAATGAAAAAAAACGAAAGGGGTAACACTGTCGTTTTTTTTTCGGGTCGAAATTTTGAATTTCGATATCTCAGCTCTGGAAGGGTCTAGAGCCTCCATTTTTGCACTCAGGTCAAAGTCTCACAGCCCTCTATCATAATCCAGAGTTTTGAGAAGATTGGAGAAACTTAATTTTTCGCCCAAAAACGAAAAAAACGAAAGGGGTAACACTGTCGTTTTTTTTTTCGGGTCGAAATTTTGAATTTCGATATCTCAGCTCTGGAAGGGTCTAGAGCCTCCATTTTTGCACTCAGGTCAAAGTCTCACAGCCCTCTATCATAATCCAGAGTTTTGAGAAGATTGGAGAAACTTAATTTTTCGCCCAAAAATGAAAAAAACGAAAGGGGTAACACTGTCGTTTTTTTTTCGGGTCGAAATTTTGAATTTCGATATCTCAGCTCTGGAAGGGTCTAGAGCCTCCATTTTTGCACTCAGGTCAAAGTCTCGTGGCCCTCTATCATAATCCAGAGTTTTGAGAAGATTGGAGAAACTTAATTTTTCGCCCAAAAACGAAAAAAAACGAAAGGGGTAACACTGTCGTTTTTTTTTCGGGTCGAAATTTTGAATTTCGATATCTCAGCTCTGGAAGGGTCTAGAGCCTCCATTTTTGCACTCAGGTCAAAGTCTCACAGCCCTCTATCATAATCCAGAGTTTTGAGAAGATTGGAGAAACTTAATTTTTCGCCCAAAAAAAAAAAAACGAAAGGGGTAACACTGTCGTTTTTTTTTCGGGTCGAAATTTTGAATTTCGATATCTCAGCTCTGGAAGGGTCTAGAGCCTCCATTTTTGCACTCAGGTCAAAGTCTCATGGCCCTCTATCATAATCCAGAGTTTTGAGAAGATTGGAGAAACTTAATTTTTCGCCCGAAAACGAAAAAAAAACGAAAGGGGTAACACTGTCGTTTTTTTTTCGGGTCGAAATTTTGAATTTCGATATCTCAGCTCTGGAAGGGTCTAGAGCCTCCATTTTTGCACTCAGGTCAAAGTCTCACAGCCCTCTATCATAATCCAGAGTTTTGAGAAGATTGGAGAAACTTAATTTTTCGCCCAAAAACGAAAAAAAACGAAAGGGGTAACACTGTCGTTTTTTTTTTCGGGTCGAAATTTTGAATTTCGATATCTCAGCTCTGGAAGGGTCTAGAGCCTCCATTTTTGCACTCAGGTCAAAGTCTCACGGCCCTCTATCATAATCCAGAGTTTTGAGAAGATTGGAGAAACTTAATTTTTCGCCCAAAAAAAAAAAAACGAAAGGGGTAACACTGTCGTTTTTTTTTTGGGTCGAAATTTTGAGTTTCGATATCTCAGCTCTGGAAGGGTCTAGAGCCTCCATTTTTGCACTCAGGTCAAAGTCTCATGGCCCTCTATCAGAATCCAGAGTTTTGAGAAGATTGGAGAAACTTAATTTTTCGCCCGAAAAAAAAAAAAACGAAAGGGGTAACACTGTCGTTTTTTTTTTCGGGTCGAAATTTTGAGTTTCGATATCTCAGCTCTGGAAGGGTCTAGAGCCTCCATTTTTGCACTCAGGTCAAAGTCTCACAGCCCTCTATCATAATCCAGAGTTTTGAGAAGATTGGAGAAACTTAATTTTTCGCCCAAAAACTAAAAAAAACGAAAGGGGTAACACTGTCGTTTTTTTTTTCGGGTCAAAATTTTGAATTTCGATATCTCAGCTCTGGAAGGGTCTAGAGCCTCCATTTTTGCACTCAGGTCAAAGTCTCACAACCCTCTATCATAATCCAGAGTTTTGAGAAGATTGGAGAAACTTAATTTTTCGCCCAAAAACGAAAAAAAAACGAAAGGGGTAACACTGTCGTTTTTTTTTC